GGGAGACAGCGAGAGTGGTGGGGCTGATTCTCGTGTTGCCGGGGAGCCAAATGTGCATCACTGGTCGCGAGAGGCGACGGAGGCGCGAGTCGGCGGTCGAGAAATCTCGACAAGGGGGAGGACCCTCCCCCTTAGCGAACTCGCCGGTCGTGCGTCTGTCTTGAAAGTCGGTCTGCGGTTAGTCGAGAATACTCGGCAGTGACCCAGAATTCTGGACCGCTGTACTGGTGCTGCAGGTCGAGCGAGAAGCAGAATCGGATTCGGAATCGTAGGTAGCGGATTTTACCAAAGAAGACTTAGAGCGTTTTTGGTTACGATGTTAGTACTCGCGCGGTTTATATACTTGCTTGTTGCTCCCGTTCGTATTGTTCCGGAGTCGTTCGGCGATCTCCGTTGGTTGAACAATGTGAGCGGGGGCCGTTTGGTTCGGCGTGTCTCGTACGCGTTCGTCGTTTCTCGGCGAGACGGCTGCGACCTGTGAATTGCTTTCTCGTTTAAAAGATCTCGGGCGCACCGCGCCCTCCTCGCTCGCGAGTGACTAGAGGTCCCTTAGCGGCGGCATCCGACGGGATGTTCTGCCGGGTACAATGCACTTATGGAGTGCATTGTTACATCACCCACCCTCTTATCAGTGCCTGAATTTGAGGCACTCCTTCTTCTTTGCTGTCGTCGGTATCCACGACGTCCTCGTCGGTGTTTTGTTCGTTGCTGATTTCGTCTTCGTTGTTTATCGGGCCGTGCGGTGGGTCGGGCTTTAAATCTTTAATGTGGACGTGCCTGTGCCATCGGTCGTTACGGTCTCGCAAATCGACGACAACAGGTGACACCACGCGCTTTATCTCGAGCGGTCCTTTAAATTTCGGAGCTAGCTTCGCGTTAAATGTCGCGTTTTTATTCGAAAGCGGGTATTCGCGTTTGTAGATTTTATCGCCGATTTTCGGCTTCCATAGCCTCCGCCTTAAATCGTAGTATTTTTGCTGTCTCTGGAAGGCCTGTGCTAGGTTTATCCGCACTAGTTCGTACGCTTCCTCGAGGTGTCGGCGGGTGGTGTCGGGCGAGGGGGCGGCGCCCTGGCGTACGTTATTCGCATTCACAGGTGACAGTAATTCGCGGCCGAGATTTAGGTATGCCGGTGTATATCCGGTAGCGTCGTGTCGGGCGGTGTTAAACGCGAACTGTAGTTCTGGCAGGTGTTCGTCCCAGTTTTTATGGTTGCGATCTACGTATTGCGCGATCATCGTTTTAACGGTGCGATTCGTTCGTTCGACCGGGTTGCACTGTGGTGCATACGCTGGCGCATACGTATGTTTTATTTCGAAGGCGTGTAGTAATTTCGCTAGTTCTCGTGATTTAAACTGCGTTCCGTTGTCGAAGATTATGGTTTCCGGGCAACCGTGGCGGAGTATGACGCTTTCGGAAAGCGCCTGTGTTACGGCGGGGGCTGTTGCGCGGCGGAGCGGCCGGGGTTCCACCCATTTCGAGAACCTGTCCTACATATTTAATAACCACGCGTGTCTCTTCTTGGAGCGCGGGAGGGGTCCTACGAGATCTATCGTGACGTGTTGCCACGGGCGAGTCGTAGGGGTTGCGTGCAGCATATCTGCTGGTTTTGCTTGCAGAACTTTATATTGCTGGCATCTGTGGCAATTGCGTACGTATGTCGCGATGTCGCGGGCCATGCCGGGCCAGTAGTATATCCCCATGATTCGTGCCATGGTCTTCGCGATTCCCAGATGCCCGGCCGTTACCTCGTCGTGATTCGCCCTTAGGATTTCGGCGCGGCGGTTTTTGGGAGCGCATTGCTTCCATTGTCGTTCTGGCGGTTTCTTTGAAGTCGAGATCATGTAGTATGTGCCGGTAAAGCTTCCCGTCGTTTATTTCGTAATCCGGATACTGGCGGGGGTTTTCTGTTACTGCCTGGAAGGTCCGCTGATACCAAGGGCATTGTGGGGCCTCTGTCGCGATTGCCGTAATTGGTTGAAAGGGCGTCGGCTACTCGATTCAGTGTGCCCTTTCGGTACTTGATGTCCAGGTCGTATTACTGGAGCTCGAATGCCCAGCGTCCGAGGCGGCCGGTGGGGGATTCTAGCTTTTGCAGCCACCTTAGAGCCTGATGGTCCGTGATGACCATGAAGGGGTACCCTTCTAGGTAGTCTCTCATGCGGCGGATCCCCCATATAACGGCGAGGCATTCGAGCTCGGTGGCGCTATAATTTCGCTCGGCTTGGTTTAGCGTACGGCTGGCGTACGCGATCACGCGCTCGCCTTCCG